CCTCCTCCGCCTCCGCCTCCTCTTCCTCATCCCTTCCTCATCCTCCTCCCTCTTCCACCGCACTAGCTCCCTCTTCCTTTTTCCTCCTTCCGGCTTCCTCCCTTCTCCCCTTTATGCCCCATTACCTTTCTCTTCCTCCTCCCCCTCCTCCTCCTTCGCCTCCTCCTCCTTCGCCTCCTCCTCATCATCCCTTCCTCATCCCTCGTCCACCGCACTAACTCCCTGTTCCATTTGCCTCCTTCTGGGTTCCTCCCTTGTCCCCTCTATGCCCCCCTTACCCTTCTGTTCCTCCTCCTCCTCCTCCTCCTCCTCCGCCTCCTCCTCCTCCTCTTCCCGTTCTTTCTTTCCTTCTCCTTAAGGCCCTCGCTCACAGGCTCTCTACGCCAGCCCCCTTCTCCCATCGCCGCCCCCTCTTCCACCCTCCCCTCCTCCTTACCCTCCATGCCTCCTTCCCTCCCCTCGTCCGGCCTCATTGTGTTCCTCCGTCTCTCCCCTGCCCCCTGGAACTTCGATCCTCCGCCAGGAAGGAGGGGCACGGGGAAGGGAGGATGGCGAGGACTTCAGGAGACTGAGGGTGTCAGATGGTCTACGAGGGACAAGGGGGAGGGCCTGGGGAGTCTTGATGGTGTTGCAGAGGAGATATTGGCCGTTCTAGGGGTTCCCTCATCCTTCCTCCTCCTCCTCCTCCTCCTCCTCCTCCTCCGCCCTCCTCCTGGTTACTCCTGCGTCGCCCTCCTCCTCGTCCCACCTTCCTCTTCCCTCCTCCCTCCTCCACCCTGCGCCCTCCACTCCTCCGCCCTGCACCCTCTCTCCTCCTCCCCATCCCCTTCCTCATCACCATGCGCTCGTCCCTCTTTTCTCGTCCTCCCGCGCCGCAGCCGCCGCCGTTGCTGCTGCCGCCGTCGCCGCTGCCGCCGTCTCCGCTGGCGCTGGTCTTCGTCGCCGCCGCCGCCAACCAACGGTCCTCGGCGTCCCCATCGATGCTGCCATCGTCTGGGGAAACCAACAGGTACCCATACCGCTACTCCCTGGACATCTCCTGGGGCACGTTCTGACCCGGATTTCGAGGCGAATCCAGCGGTGGCGACGACGGAGGCCCAGGAGGCCCGCAGAGGGGAAAACGAGGGGATGCTAGCGGTATGGGTACTTACATGTTCCTCCTCTGATCGTCTCCGCCGCCGTCAGGGCTGCCGTCGTCGTCGTCGTCGTCGTCGTCGTCGTCGTCGTCGTCGTCGTCGTCGTCTTCGTCGTCGTCGTCGTCGCCGCCGCCGCCGCCGCCGCCGCCAGTCGTCGCCGCTGCCGCCGCCTTCGCCGCCGCCGCCGCCGCTCCCGCCGCCCTCGCCGCCGCGGGTGCCGGCGGGCCCGGGCCTCGGGCGCCTGCCGGGGTCGGCCGCGCCCCGGCCGTCGCCGGCGCTGACGACCGGCTGCAGTCGCGGGCTGCCTGCGGCTGCCCCGCGGGGGCCCTGAACTACTTCAGGCACATGGCCAACTTCGGAAACCCTGAACCCAACAACGTTGTCATCGCTTGGGGACGCACTGCTTACTTCCGCCGGCTTCCGCCAGCGGAGGCGGCCTCGTTCCGCCACCCTTCCACCGAGGAAGAGACAACCCCTTCTATCTTCGAAAGAGAGGCCCTCTCTGAAACGCCTCACGTGTAACCCACTTAGAAGCCAGGTCCGGGCAGATATAACCCACCTTCCTAGGTCCCCGACGTAATTTTTTAATTGTCCCAATCCTCCTGTGTTGGGTTCTCGTTTTGAATAGAGCACTGTGGTCGAGTCTCCTCCTCCTCCGCCTCCCTCTTCCTCCCCTCTCCTGCCTGCTATCTCCTCTCTCCTGCTCTCTGCTTCTCTCGTGGGCTCCTGGGAGGTCCAGCGGTCTGGCGTGGTACGCGGACCCGGTTGAGATCTCGCGTCTCCCTGGAGGGCTGCGAAGCGCGACATTGTCGCCACTTTTCTTGGACTCCTGGGGTGTCCCGCGGCGTGGAATGATACTGGGATTCGGTTGGGACCTCGCGGCTCCCTGGGGGGCTGCGAAGCGCGAAACTGTCGCCACCGTCGTGGGCTCCTGGGAGGTAGTGCGGAGTGGAGTTTGACGGGGATCCAGTTGGAACCTCGCGGCTCCCTGGGGGGCCGCGAAGTGTGAAGCCGTCGCCACTTTCGTGGGCGCCTGGGAGGTCGCGCGGGATGGGGTCGCGCGGGGATCCAGTTGGGGCTTCGCCGCTCCCCGGGTGCTGCGGGATGGGAGACCGCCGCCACTCTCGTCGGCTCCCGGGAGGTCCCGCGGGGTGGAGTTGCAGGGGGGGATCCAGTTGGGATCCCTGGGGGGCTGCGAGATGCACAACTGTCGCCACTGTCGCGGGCTCCCGGGAGGCCGCCCGGAGTGGAGTTACACTGGGATTTCGTTGAGACCTCGCGGCTTCCCCAGGGGCCTGCGAAATGTGACATCGTCGCCACCTTCGCGGGCTCCTGGGAGCTCGAGCGGGGTGGAGTTGTACGGGGATCCAGTTGGGACCTCGCGGCTCCCTGGGGGGCTGCAAAGTGTGACACTATCATCAGTTTCGTGGGCTCATGGGACGTCCCGCGGCGCAAAGTTGTATGGGGATCAGGCTGGGACCTGGCGGCTCCCTGGGGGGCTGCGAAGTGTGAGACTGTCGTCGGTTTCGTGGGCTCCTGGGAGGTGGGTCGCGCGGAGTGGAGTTATGATTTCGGAGACTCGGTTGAAACCTCGCGGCTGCCTGGGTGGGGGGTGCAAAATGTGTGCAACTTTCGCCACTTTGGTGGGCTCCTGGGAGGTGCCGCGGAGTGGCGTTACACTGGGATCCAGTTGGGACCTTTCGGCTCCCTGGGGGGCTGCGGAATGTGAATTTGTCTCCACTTTCGTGGGCTCCTGGGAGGTCGCGCGGGGTGGAGTTGTACGGGGATCAAGTTGGGACCTCGCGACTCCCTGGGGGGCTGCGAAGTGTGTGTGACCACTTTCGTGGGTGCAGTTGAACGGGGGCCCAGTTTGGACCTCGCGGCTCTCTGGGGGGGCTGGGAAACATGAAACCGCCGCCACGTTCGTTGGCTCCTGGGAGATAGTGCGGAGTGGAGTTGTGCGGGGATCCCGTTGAGACCTCGTGGCTCCCTGGGGTGCTGCGAAGTGTGAAATTCGCGACACTTTCGTGGGCTCCTGGGAGGTCGCGCGGAGTGGGGTTGTACGGGGACTCAATTGAAACCGCGCGGCTCCCTGGGGGTCTGCGAAGTGTGTCGCCACTTTCGCAGGCTCCTGGGAGGTAGCGCGGAGTGGAGTTGTATGCGGACCCAGTTGAAACCTCGCAGCTCCCTGGGGGGCTGCGAAGTGTGTAATTGTCGCCATTTCGTGTCGCGCAACGCTCGGCGCTGTCACATCGCAGCTCGCAGGAAACCGCTGCGCCACGCAGTGCGTAATGCAGTCTTCCGTTCACATGACCTCCCATCCTCAGCTGCCTCGGGCCCGCCATGGCACCCGGTGCCGTTGCCTCGGCCAGCACGACGCGCTGTTTTGCTATAGAGCGCATGGCGCTGTTCTGTCCCGCGTATGTAGCGCTCGGCGATAATGCTGTTACTGAAGATGTTTGTCCCCCAATCACCCTCCTCTTTCTGCTTCTGTCTTCGTTCCTAGGTTGTAATTCATACATGGTTTTGCATATTTCTGGAAGCTCATGCGCACTGCGGGTCCTTAAACATGTTTGTGCATTGAGCGGTCCTAGAGCTATGCGCCAACTGTTCAGAACATGTCGGGTACGCCGCCGGGCAAATGTCACCACGACGTGGACCCCTTGAGGTCTCGACCCATTCGCCGGGACCGTCTTTTCGTCCTGAGTCCTTTGTGGAACGGCCCCGGGGCCCGGCGAGGGCCCCCAAAGGCTGAAAATCGCTCGTATAGCCCCTCCCGCCGTGATCCTTCCATGGCCCGACGGGGTCTGCTTCCCTGACCTTCCAGAGAGCTATTTTTTAGCACTGGAAACCTAAAAACCTAAGAAACGAGACGAAACAGCCTAAAACCAAGACGGAAAATAGCTCTGGGATAGGTTTTTACGTCGGGTGCTATTTTTTAGCCCTCCTGGAAGGTCAGGGTTAGCATCCGTCTCGCCTCGCGATCCCCTCGGCAGCCCTGGCGGAGACCTCTCCGCGGGCCGCAGGGCTCCGGGCCGTGCCCCGGGGGGGGGCCCGCTCCTCGCCCCTGCGAGCCGCTCTTCCACGGCCGGGCCCGAAGACGACCGGCCCATGGGCTCAGGCCTGGGAGGGAACGTCAGGGGGGGATCAGGGGACAGAGGAGGAGGAGGAGGAGGAGGAGGAGGAGGGGGAGGGGGAGGAGGAGGAGGAGGAGGAGGAGGAGGAGGAGGAGGAGGAGGGAGGAGGAGGAGGAAGGAGGAGGAGGAGGAGGAGGAGGGGGGGGTCTCTCTGGGCCGACCTGGCTCAGCAATAGGTTGCAAGTGGGCTGCACGCGGCCCAAGTGGCCCAAGGGGGGCCCTGCGGCCCGCGTGGCGGAGGCCAGAGCACAGCGGCGCCCCCAGAGGTCCTCCTGCAGGAGGCCGCGGGGCCCTCTCGCCGCCGGAGCCGCGCGCCACCCGCGCGAGCTCGCGCTGTGGTGGTGGCTGCCCCCCCGGGCGCCGAGCGGGCGAGCGCTGCTTCGGAGGGCGCCAGCTGCCCTGAGATCCTGGCGTCGCAATGCTGTCCTCAGCTGGCCTGGAACGCAGCATGCAACCCGCCGCGTGTTGACACAGGGCAGGTCTGGCGAGCGGTAAGTTCGCCCAAACGTGGGCCAACACGTTGAACCCACACGCAGCGTGTCAACACGGACGTTTCGAACACGGTACGTGTTGTGTTGCGTTTCAAAAATGGCCGTATCACGGAAGCTGACACATTCTCTCGAGCCAGGTGTTTTTGCATGATTTCGGGCCTGTGGGACACTCATAGATCGGTCCAGCTCGACAGATGATGCAGAGAGATGGGGTCTGCGGCGCCAGTCGTGTTTTGGTTTGGACTTTGTCGTTTTTTTCGCGACGTCGGCGCGGCGCGGCGCGGGTGGCGGCGCGAAACAATCTCGGCGGGTGGCCTTTGTCAGCTTCTGGCCCTTGGGGGCCCTCGCCGAGCCCTGGGACCGTGAGACAACGACTCGGGACGAAGACCGGCCCTGGGGAGGGGGTCGGGACTTTCAGGGGCCCTGTATAGAAAAAAGTCGAAACCTCGCATGCCACAGATGCCTCAGGAAGGCACCAACTATACACCAACACCGATCCTGGCCAGGATCACCCTGGGCCAAGGATCGGTGTGTACGCCCTCCTGCCTTGCGCAAGAAGGCACATACACCGATCCTGGGCCCAGGGTGATCCTGGGCCAGGATCGGTGTTGGTGTATAGTTGGTGCCCTCCGATGCCTGGGCATAGACCCGCACCGATCCTGGCCAGGCCCACCCTCGGCGTGCACGAGGAGGGCACGCCCGCCCATCCTGGGCCCAGGGTGGGCACCTGGCCGGTGTCGGTGTGGGCGTGCAGCGGGCGCCCTCCGACCCTGACCTTCCAGGAGGGCTAAAAAATAGCACCCGACGTAAAAACCTATCCCAGAGCTATTTTCCGTCTTGGTTTTAGGCTGTTTCGTCTCGTTTTTTGGGTTTTTAGGTTTCCAGTGCTAAAAAATAGCTCTCTGGAAGGTCAGGGGACTCCTCCCTCAGACGATGGCGGAGCTCGCGGGCTTCTTGAGGGCCTTCTTCTGGCCCTCCGCCGGGGCGTCGTCGTCCTTGAGGGGGGGGCGATGAGAGAGAGAACTGGCTCAGGGGGGGCAGCACACCGAGCTGGAACCGGCGATGAATCGCCGACAGATCGGCGATAGCGGCTCCCAGCGTTCCTGGGCCGGGTCGCCTAACTATCGGGCCCCTATCGGCGATCAATCAGCGATTGGGGGTCGATGCATCCCCTTAAATCGGGCCGGGCGAAAGGGGGGGCATAGTCAGGGGGGGGTTGAAAATCAGTTCACGTAGCTGACTTTCCAGGCGCCTCCCGGCGCCGCCCCTCGGTGGGGCTGAAACCAGCTGCATGCAGCATTTTTCGTACCCCCCCTTTCCCTATCCCCCCCTTTCGTCTGGCCCGGTGAAAGCCTGCCCCCTGGTGGCCTGCGGGTCATAACTCGGGCCTCCGGCGGCCGTCCCGGACGAGCGGGGCACCCCTCGAGAGCCCTCGGTGAGGCGCAGGCGCTGGATGGCATCCCGAGGCTGGAAAGCCGCCGAGAACCGACGAAAACGTCCGAGAACCTCGAACCTCGCGCCTACTGGGATGGGCGCGGGGTTTACTGAGGGGATAGGGCAGGGGGGTACTAGAGGATGCCAAGGTGGGTTATATCTGGCCTAAACTAGCTTATACATCGGCTACATTGCCCACAAAGTGGCTCAGTGGGTTAGGTAACTCCGCCAAGTGGGGAGCCCACTTAGCCAGGATCGCGAACCCCCCTAAGCCACTCAGGGCATTTGCAACCCACTTCCAAATTAGGCTGGGCCAGGTCGAACCCACCTTGGCATCCGCTGATCGCCCCCCTGTCCCCTTAGCTCGGGCGCACGCTAACATGGATTCGGTGTCCTTGGATGGGGCGCGTGCGCGCCAGATCCACAGATCGGCGAAGGCTCCCACCGGAACACGAAGCCAGTGCCGCCTGATTTGGCGACGCACCTCGCCGATTTCGTATGGAAGCAGGGCCAGTCGCTGACCCACGCCTTTGTCCATGTGTGCGCCTCCCTGACCAGCAACCCCTCCGCGGCCCCTGAGTCCTCCAGCTTGTAGTCCTCGCTCAGCCGGGGGTCGAGCGGGTTGGTGTAGCCCTCGGGGGGCAGCTCCCCGCCGCCGATGTAGGTCTTGTACATGCCCTCGTCATCCTCTCGGGGGCGTTCAAAGAGGGGGCGTTCGCGAATCCGCCGACCCCTTGTGGCTCTCCAGGCGCGTGAAATGGTTCCCCCCCGAAATCCCCCCAAGAGCCCCAAACTGCAAATTTGAGGGGGGGGACTGGCTGGGCACGACACCCGGGTTCCTCCTCCTCCTCCTCCTCCTCCTCCTCCTCCTCCTCTTCCTCCTCCTCCTCCTCCTCCTCCTCCTCCTCCTCCTCCTCCTCGTTCTCCTCCTCCTCTTCCTCCTCCTCCTCCTCCTCCTCCTCCTCCGCCGCCCGTCCCCGGGCTCCTTCAGGGGGGCTTCACGGCGCGGCAGAGCAGCGCGGCAGACGAGCAGGGCAAACCACCCAGGGCGCAATCTTTAGTTACGTGCTCCGGACGCGCACCCCGCGAAGCGGAAGGATCCACGTCTGGAGGTGACGTGCTGAGCGGCAGCGCTTTCTGTATGGTATGATTTGACATCATCATGTCTCCCCCCTAACCCCCCCCCGGAGTCGCGCCACATCCGCGGGCAAAAGGTGCAGACGTACCAAAACGTATGATACACGTGCTGGGTTCTAGGAGGGCCTCCAGACGGCTCAACATGGCCTCCGGACGGCCCAGGACGGCCCCAAGACGGCCCAAGACGGGCCAAGATGGCCCCGAGAGGGCCCAACAGGCCCCCAAGACAGTCCCAGAGGACTCCAAGGGGGCCCCCAAGAGCACCTCCAGAGGCCTAAAACTTAGATTTTCGTAGGATTTTCTCGTTTACATTACAAACACATGTTCGCGTTCTCGCCTTTTTTCGACTCTCAGGGGCCTGTGACGGCCCAAGCAGCCTCCAATATGGCCCCAAGACGGACCCAGGGGCCCCCAAGAGGGCCCCAAGACGGCTTAAGCGGGCCCCAAGATGACACAAAGATGCCCCCAACACGGCTCAAGAGGCCCCCAAGGTGGCCCAAGAGGACCCCTAAGAGAGCCACGCGGCGGCCCCGAGAGGCCCCCAAGACGGCCTCGCAAGGGGCCAGACGGCGCATTGGCGCCCCAAGATTGACCAAGAGGCCCCCAAGAGGCCCCCAAGATGCCCCCAAGAACCAAGAAGGCACCCGCGGAATTGTACACGAATGGCGCCGTATGGCTATGGTCATCGGAAGCAGTTCCTTGTGCCGATACGCGGTGGATGCCCATCACCTCGTGGACATTCGCACGTTCGTACTGGCGCTCAGACGGCGGAGGGGCGCATCCGCCCCCCCGTGGCGCTGGCAGCGCCCCGAGGCGGGTAGAACGACGCGGCAAAAACGTTGCGGCAGACGGGCAAGGCAACCAACCCATCACCCGGTCTCTACGTGCTCCGGACGTGCACTCCGCGAAGCGAAAGGGATCATGGCCTGAGGCACTGCGCGGCCCAGGGGGGGGGGGGCAGGGGACGTGTTGAAATATGAAGTGGGGGCCATGAAATCCGGGGAGATAATCACGGCCCCGCCATTCGGGGATATATATATATATATATATATATATAGATCAGGGATCCGTGGATCTGGCGCGCAAGCGTCAGATCCACGGCTCGGGCGAAAAGCTGCGCCAATGCCGCCCGTTTTCGCGACGGAGCGAACCGAGGTCGCATGTAAACGGAGCCCGTCGCTAATCCACGCGCCTCGATCCATGTTAGCGCTTCCTGCTCCCTACTCTGCATGGGGCAATCATCGCCCTCCCCTTGGATCCGCTGGGGGGCTTCGGCACGTGCTGTCGGCACGGGTGGAGGGGGGTTGGAAGAGGAGGAGGAGGAGGAGGAAGAGGAGGAGGAGGAGGAGGAGGAGGAGGAGGAGAAGGAGGAGGAGGAGGAGGAGGAGGAGGAGGAGGAGGAGGTAAAGGCGCTTAGGGGGCGGTTCCCAAGTCCACTTGGAAAATGGCTGATGCCCCTGCGAGAATTTACGGATGCAGGGCCGCACGTTGCCGCGAGGCCTGCCGGCCACGCGTGCTGCTGGCTCATGGCGCTCCCAGCCTAAGACACGCACATGATCGCCTGCCAGGAAGCACGGGCGGCGTTGGCGGGGGGGCCCCCCTGCAACTTGGAAGGAGGAGGAGGAAGACGACGACGACGACACTACGACGACGTCGAGAAGAGGAGGGCACGCAGTGCAGGCGCCGTGACTGCTGCGCGTGCGCGCGTGCTGGGGGCTGCTTTGCCCTCTGTCTCGGAACCTTGGAAACTAACATCTGAAAGTAAGCCCGCCCTCCCATCCCAAACTCGCCACCCCAGTCCATCCCAACAGAAACACTACCTCGTGAAACTAGCTCTCGCCACGGTAAGGCCAAGAGGGGCGACGCGCCAAATGCGCGCCGTCATCCCCCCCCCCTCTGACACGCCAAATGCGTGCCGCCCCCCTCTTCTTCTGATTTTTTCTTTCGGTTCCTGGGGGGCAGGGGACGCTCCTTTCTCCGTCTTCATGAGCTGAGGATGAAGGGAAGGAGGAGGCAAGAGAACAACAATATTATCGATATGTTTCGTGCGTTTGCTTTGGATGTTACTTTACTCAAGCGCTATCAAATGCAATCTCGCACTTCTGCAAAACACCATACCAATGTCTATCCACGGCTGCACCGCCAAGGAAATTTCGTTCCTCTTGTATTTAGAAAGCCCTCGTGTTTGCAACTCCCGCAAAGAAATGCCATTCGCCAGTTCCTCACTGTCTGCACGCATGAAAATGTCATACACTCTGTCCACGAGCGGTCCGAAATGATGTGCAAGACGTTTCGCGGATTGATGCACCAACCTCGCGCGCTGAATTGTTTCTCTGTTAGGTTTGAACGATTGCTTCTTGATGCGATTCTTCACCAAGCGAGGTCGGCCCACGCTTATTTCATCCCCTGCGCCTGCAATCCATGCGACGTCCATCTGATTGTTCAGCTGCCCACACCTGGGAAATAGGTAACGATCTTCTTTGATCTGAGTCGTACCGCATAGGAGTCCCACGAGCTCGTCCGTGCAAAGTTCCCACTTTGATGCTAAAGAAACCAAGCATACTTCATTAGAGGGCGAGTGTACGCGTAGTACTTCTAAGCTGTCGTCTTGCAACTCTCTTTGTAAGTCCGTGCTTGTGCCCTGGTCAATAAGACATGGTCCACTTTCACTTGTCCGTATATTCAAAGCCCCCTCCAGATATTGTATGTGAAACTTCATTGTCTGCTTTTGTGATTTCCTCATTTGTCTCCGAAATCGTGTGCGATCTGCGCCGAAGCCGGGTGGTGCGCCTGGGCGCCCGGTGCGACCGCCGTATTCGGCAGCCGCTCCCGCCATTCCCTCCGGGCACGGAGTGTCGAGACAAACGTGTGCGGTTCGGTAGCGAGCCCCCCCTCCCCCCCCGGCCTAGTGCAGTCGGGCGGCCCTGAAGTCCTGGCGGGGATGAAACTTGCACCCTCCTGGCGGGTCGGCAAAGTTTCGGGCCTTCCCACGCCGACTAGGAGGAGGAGGAGGAGGAGGAGGAGGAGGAGGAGGAGGAGGAGGAGGAGGGGGAGAAGGAGGAGGAGGAGGAGGAGGAGGAGCTTACTGCTTCTCATCCCTCCATGGCCCCGCAGTTGAAATCCATCCCGAGAAAAAAAGTGGCACCGACAGGAGCAAACGCCCTCGAGGAGGAGGCGGAGGAGGAGGAGAAGGAGGAGAAGGAGGAGGGGGAGGAGGAGTGGAGTGGAGCAATCGGACGTAGTCCGTTCGGGAACCCAGAGACGCCAGGGGGGCCATCCAGAATTTCTCGGAGAGCCGTGGGGGGCGACATCCCACGGCACACCGCGACAGGCCCCCCTGGCCTCACAATTTACTCAGAGGCAGCGCCAGCCGCGTGAGAAACGATCGCGGCTTCGGCTGCCGAAACATGCATCGCCTCTAGAACAGACTTGCTGGGACCCGATCTGGACGGATGGAGGCCTCGCCTGATCCTGCTGAGGTTTTCGAGGCCTTTGCCAGTGGGTCCCAGGGCCCTGCGCTCTCCCACTTGGTGGGTGAGAGGGCAAGGGAACTGTAAGCTTTTGACCTGGTGTGTGGCCGTATGGCCGCACTTCACGCAGAAGAACATTTGCCACTTGGGGATGGTGGCCAACGTGTGGGAGGGGTGTATCGCCTTGCCACTGATCACACGGGGACCCCTCGACCACAGCACCTCGCCACACGCAGCAAACTCGGGAAGGGGGCAAGGCGGTGCACACTCCGTGGCGGCGGCTGGAATAACCTGGCAAGCATCGACGATGATGAGGCAGGCAGAGCATCGCCATTTGTCTGCACACCGCTCGAATTTGTGCTGTGAAGCCGCGATCGCGGTCTGCAACAGAGAACGAGGGGCTGCCTCCTGCGTGGGTTGCCTCTCTGGCCACAGTCCTCGAGGCTCTGAATTCTTTCCTAAGGAACGTAGGATTAGTCGTGCCCGCTGTCGGACAATCGCTGCGATAGCATCGTATTCGTCAGTCCTGGGCACAGGCGGGAGGGCAAGGGTGGCCGACTTGTGGGCCGCGCTTCCCGCAAGCTCATCGGCTTGCTGATTGCCGAGAGCTAGGAATTTCTGAAAACCGTGAAGAGTCTGGGGATCGGCATGAGATGGGGTCCAGAGCACTGTGACCGAGGAGACGCCGCAAGGTCGATCCTGCACGAGATGCCGAATTCTCAGCCAGAGATCTCCATTCTTATTCTTACCTCTGAGGCTGCCTGGCCTGAGACATCTGCCATTCTGCCAACCACGCTGCAAGGCTAGGTGATCGGTAACAAACGTGAAATCCTGATGGCACGTCTCTAGTGCCAGGCAAAACGCATATAATTCTCCTCTTGGGACGGTCTGGCGGGGGCCTGGGAGGGGGGCAAGGAGGCCCGCGTGGAGGGTCCAGGAGGCCGAGGGAGGGTTCCAACGGAGGGCCGCGAGGCCAGATCCGACGCGACGTCGCCTGACGTCGTCAGAAAAGGCACCGCCAGACCCGTCACCAAAAAGAAACAACTCACCCTCTGCGTTACGAGCACCTTCCCAGGACGG